ATGTAATTTATGGTGCATCAGAGTAACGTTTCTTGCTTATAAGGAAAGATTTATTCTAGTTTATGGCTTCTGTAGTTCATAGTTAATATTTAGATTTGCAATTAAATAGGCATATCCAAATGCAATGCACATTAAAGCAGTAGTACAGTGAGCTTATAGAGGATGTCTGTGAAGCTTTTTCTTCACAGTTATTTAGAGCAAAATCTTGCTTCCTTTTTTTTTTTTTTCTGCCAGCTGCATAGAGTTTTGGAGATTTAGGTAATTATATCCCTTCTTAAATTATGACTATGGCAGAACTAACTTTCCACGCTTTTGTGGGTGAAATTGGAAAGCAACTGAAATATTTTTAAAGTCACTTAGTGGGTTGTGTAATATTTCTGTTGTACTTAGTCCAGTAGCCAAGTTTTTAAATCCTGAGTTCACAGCCTTAAAAAGTGTGTAGTCACATTATTATGTTGCTCAGACACCTTTTTTTGAAATTTGCTTTAGATGTTGCTGAAGCCAAGCTGATAACCCTGAAGTTTTTTGCTGCTGCTTTTGTTTTGTGTAAAAACTTTAAGATGAGTATGTATAGGTATACTCTGTTTTGGATGTATAGCTAGCTTAAGTAATCACCAAGGAGATGTCTTTATTGCCTGTTTTTATGGACTATATTTGGTCAAGGAGCATAGTACACTTGCTTAGTTTTCTTATGGTGTTAAATGAGCTGAGAAAATTACTGTTTTGTGCTCTGAAATTTCCTTTATAACAACGCATTTCTCTTCGGTAAGAGTGTATTTGTATGTTGGCACTAGGTGTCTATTTATGATGGTAAATGCCTGAGAAATCAAATTGTAATAAATGGTTTTCATTGGTATTTGGCATTAGCAGCTTTTTTTAGATGTAGTTTGAGGTGAAAGAAGAGAGTAATGGCGTTTGCTGTCTTCCTGCATACTGGTATCAAATTGATAGATTTGGACCTGATCTCTCCGCGCTCTTCCCATTTACTGTATATGGCATGACATAGGGTAGCACCAGTGTGGCAGGTGACCTTCATCTGCCACATCATCGTTATGAGAAGGCACTAGTCTCCCCCAAGGGCTGCCCTCCAAGCTTGTCATGTTCATCCCAGGGAAGGAGGTGGCAGGGGCAGGCATGCAGGGCTCGGTTTGGAGGAGTGCCTGTGTAGGACTGGTTGTGTAGCTGCAGTGTTAGATGCGGAGTTATAAGTGATTTGACCAAGGTAGAGGAGGAAGTTGGTGCCAGAGCCACAATGGGACCATAAGGATTTCTGACTTGTGCTGTGCTTGAAATGTTCCTCCAGCTTCAAAGGACCTGGAATCACCTCATGTGCTTTTCTTTAAGTAGGTAATTAGATAAAATTACAAAACCATTGTGTAAACATAGCAAGGAAAGGCACTATTTCAGCTTTTTCACTTTGTAAATCAAGACTTGACCTAGATAAGATAACCACTTACAATTTTTAAGTAATTGAACTATTAGGATGGGTATAGCTTGTATCTAATTTGGTGATTGTTAAATGTCTCATTGCACAGTGTAACATTTCAGGAAGCGCCTTGGGGGCTTTGAGGTGGTCTTGTTTCCAGACATGACAAAATAGTACACCAATGCCTGACCAAAGCCCTGTTGAGCATTTTACCCAAGAATATCTCTACTGCTGTGCTTTCTCTGCATACAGAGTATGCTATATTGTCAGATTACACGCTGAAGATGGAACAGATCCATCACTAGCAAGACGCTATTCCCTGTATTTTTCTGTTGTACTGCAAAGATAAATGATTCACACTATTGACTGATGTTAACTTTGCACATGTACTGATTGAAGGGAGTCTATGCCTGTTTGTTTTGCACGTTTCAGAAATACGGCTACACGCACCTTTCTGCTGGTGACCTCCTTCGAGATGAACGAAAAAGGCCAGGCTCACAGTATGGAGAACTCATTGAGAACTACATTAAGGAGGGGGAAATTGTACCGGTTGAAATAACAATCAGCTTGCTGAAGAGGGTAAGGAAAGGGCTATTTCCTTGCTGGTTCACTCTTGCAGACTAAGCAACAAAGCAGTGGCCGTATTCTGGAAGAACTGCTTTTCCTCTGGTGTGAGTAGTATGAAATGGCAGACACGTAGGTGCGCATCATGTGCTGGGTTTCTCTTAGCAGTTACTCCTGTTTCTTTCTGGCTGGTTGGAGGGCAGTAGGTGATGGCCTCTGATACCTGGGGATCTGTGAGAATGGATTATTTTTATTTTATTTTATTAGTAGTTCCGGGGAAATCAGTGAAACTCTGTATTTCTTATTTCCCTTAACTAGCTTTTGGATCTCTTGGTCAGCTCAGTCATATTTGACTGGAGGGTAGAGGTCTTAAAGGTACTGAGTTTCTGTAAGTTTTATCAAAATAGATAGCTAGGTGAAGGAGAAGAGCACCTGCTGATGTTCCTGTGGAAGGAAAAGCTCCAGCCTTTATCCTCATTAGAAGTCCAGGAAAACAACCAGAGTATCTCTCTTAAGACAAAAGGCTTCTGTTGCTCATAGCACTGGATTTATCTGGAGTTTTTCCATTAGAATTAAGTCTAGATCAGGGGTGTTTTGGCATCTTATTGTGTAACAGCACTTTCCAGTATCTTGTAGAAAATCAACTTTAAAGCTGGAATTGTGTGTTAGGAGATTTTGAGCTTTATGAAATAGTGAATCCAGTTTGAAAGAAGGCTGTATTGGTGCATCAGTGAATTAATTAGCATGTATTGAAGGTGAAACAAAAATACATTTTGTAAATCTGCAATAATCCTAAGATAAATGCCTCTCCACTTACCATGTCAACATTTTGGGGGTAATTTAATAAGTAGATAAATGGTTGTATGTGCAGGAGATCATGAATTGAATTCTCTTTTATCAGGCTATGGATCAAACAATGGCTGCAAATTCCCAGAAGAACAAGTTCTTGATTGATGGATTTCCTAGGAATGAAGATAATCTTCAAGGCTGGAATAAGACTATGGATGGAAAGGCGGATGTTTCTTTTGTTCTTTTTTTTGATTGTGACAATGAGGTAATAAAGCGTGTTATTCTGTAACTTCCTTTCTTGCTATATTGTGAGAATCATTCAAGAAGAACAATAAAACTCCGTCAGGTAGTGAATGGACTAGTATAAGAGCAGAAGGAAAACTTGGTCTGTGAGTTTCAAGGATTTTTTGGCAACTTGTTTTTGCAGATGAAAAACTGCATGTTTTTGAAATAGCAGGCAGCTAATGGCACTTGGTATAATCATGTGCGAATAAATTATATTGAAGAAGTGCTTCAGGCAATTGCATTCTTAGGGAAAATTTATGAAAACTTTAACTATGTTATACAAAATTATTTGGTTAACTTTAGAAAACACTACTGTGTTTACTCTTAGTAACTGTTGTTTAGTCCAAAATAAACTTGATAGCAATGTCTGCTTTAATTCTAAAGTGCTGGCAGCAGCAGTCTTTATTGTCATGGTTATGAGCTGTGCTATAGCATAGCCAGTAATCAACATTTTATTCAGCAAGTCATTAGATTACAAGGGCATTTTGACAGTGATACATTATATTCATTTAACAAGTGCCATGATATGCTGTCTTTTTAGTATGTCAGTGCCCTTGAGGCATAAAAACTGATATGAGAATCCCAGCTCCTTAAGCTGACTTTCTTCCTTTTACCCTTTTCCCCAATTTCCTGAGAAATTTTGTTACTTTTTTTTTACTTAATTGCAATTATTTTTTATTCTCGAACAAGTGAGGGGTTATTTTTTTTCCTCATAGGATTATTTTGTTTAAAAACTTAAATAAGATCAATTTTTTTACTTGCTGGAGTATGAATTTTGAGGTTCTAATTTTTTTTCTAGATCTAAAAATAGGCAACAATGCCTACATGATCTGGATTTTTTTTACTATGGGTGTACTTTGTAGGAAAAAATAATTTTTAACCATTGTCCTCTTGCATGAGTCAAATGTATTCATGAAGTGTACATGTGTCAGTGTTGCTTACTTAACTTCACATTTCAAAACTTAGTTCATTGGGCAGCTTTTTAACCATGGTTAGTTCTGCAGTTTTTACTTAGATTTCGATTTTTAAGTCTTCATTATAGCAATGTCAAGTAAGAACATTTTAACTTAGAATAACTTAGTATGTAGCCTTACAAAATTCTTGGGAGAACATAGAGTGACTTTCTTTCAGTACAGGCATATATTAGTAGTCTAATTTGACATGCTGCTTTTTAGAAAGTCTAAACACATCCTTGAAAATCAGGTAATTTTATTCTTTAAATGTCTCAAGTTGGAGACCCAGTCAAACCACAGAGCTTGATGTTGCTTTTACTTGTGCTGACCCCAATTGCATTTTAAGAGCCCCCCATTTTAATAAACTGATGAAATGTAAAACTGGTGAAGTGTAAAGCCTTTTTCTCTGGAAGAATCTAACTTTCCATGTGAATTCTGGTTACATCCACCAGATCTGGATAGTATTTTGTGTATCAGGCCTATTTAGATTTTCAGGATTTTTGTTTTGTTCCGGCTTTCAAGATAGCATGTTGTGTTCTTGGTTGTGATGATCCTTATGATGTTTTTTGTAGATATGTATTGGCCGCTGTCTTGAAAGAGGCAAGAGCAGTGGTAGGAGTGATGATAATCGGGAGAGTCTGGAAAAGAGGTACTATCTTCAAAACTTTTCAGTTCCCTTCTGTTTATATTTTATTACGTAATGCTTTTTTTTCCCCTGTGCTTTCTCCTAGAATTCATACATATCTGCAGTCTACTAAGCCTATAATAGACTTATATGAGAGAATGGGAAAAGTCAGAAAAGTGGATGCCTCTAAATCTGTTGATGAAGTAAGTATATAAGCCAAAAAACCATGGGGATGACAGTGACAGGGTACATATTTTTGGCATTCTTCTGAGATGTGTATATGTGTGGTTAGTGTGCTAATTAAGGACTGATGTCTATTACTGAGGGAGGTTGTAGAACTCTCATTTTGACTCTTGAAGAACTGATTAAGATATGAATCACTTCAAGAAATCAATTAGTTCTGCTTGAACATGAGCTGGACTAAACACATTTTCAGTGTTTCTGTGTTTAACAGTGTCTTGTCTTTTTCACTTTCATGAGCTTTTGCTTTTATGAAGTAGTATTGCTCTTCTGTCTCAGTTTCCCAGAATTGATGCCAATTTCACTATTAAAGAATTACTGTGAATGCTCTAAAAAATATAGAGGTTTTTCTTAGAATACTGTCAATTATTGTGTGTGCTGGTTTAACTTGAAGTAACTTTGACTAATGCTTCATGAAATTAATACTCTTCTCTCTTTTTAGGTTTTTGAAAAAGTTGTACAAATTTTCGACAAAGAAGGCTAATTCCCAGCTTGAAAGTTCATTTAAACTCGTGCTTGAATCTTGCTTGAATAGCTGCTACTGCAGTCCACTCTTTGTAATTGTTTTAAAAGATTTTTTTATTGTTTTTTCACATATCTAATGATGATTGGAAAAGCAGTTAATTACAAATGGATCTGTTTTTTAAATAGGAAATCATTTCTTGTGGCTACAGTATACAAATTTCAGGGTTCTCCATTAGTACAAGCTCACTTACATGGCAAAACCACAGTTAAAACATCTCTCTGAAGAGACTATTTATTCTGTCACAGTTCTGTGCCTGTCATGGGCAGCCCTTCTTATTCCTTATTGCCATAGACCTTTTTTTTTTTTTTTTTTTTTTTTTTTTTTTTTTTTTTTTTTCCCTTTTTTTTTCTTTTTGCCCTAGGCCTTTTTTTTTTTTTTTTTTTTTTTTTTTTTGTAAGGATAAACTAAACAGCAGCATTGAGCAATGAGGGACCTATGTGCCCTTGTTTGTTTTTCGGATGCTTGGACCAAATTTAGCAGATATTTTTTCAGAGTCTAATTTTGTCACAATGTTCCCTATTATCCCCAAACCTGAATTTTGTAAGTCAGAGCTACAGTTAGTATGAGAATATGTTTTAGCAGTTCTCACAAAACTATTTAATGTGCTGTTCAGCAATAGACATACAAAGTACTTTATGGAAAGTGGTGCTTTCTTAAGACTCTGGATGTAAACTGTCTTGTAAGTTCTTGAGTACATGGATGACATGGCCCTGGGCTTTACCTTGTCTTCATCTGCAAAAGATTAAGAATATAATTTAAAAGTCAGGTCAGAATTTCCATACTCATTTATTTTAAATTATAGTTATATTCTTAATTACAGTATGGTCCTCACAAGGTGGCAAAACTCTTAAACAGTGTATAATAAGCAAAATCTTCTAACAGTTCTGTCTTTTGTAATAAGTGGAAGAGATTTTCTGTGTTGTTATTATTATTATTGAAATACTGTGTTACTGAATGCTTTAAAGTTTGTTACCTGGGGAAATATTTTGATGGGTAAACTAGTGAATTTGTTTCCCTAAAATTGTATAATTTTATTAGTCGTTTGTTTGAAAATATTGTAAATTATGCACTTTTATTACGATGTGGTCAGCTGAGGGGAAGATAACTGCAGAAAAAAGTTCCATTCCCTTAAACAAATTGGGTCCTGCTTCATCACGTTCTCTTGAATTAGCCAAGTACAGTCAGCAGCAATAGTTGGGATAAGCAGATAATTAGTTGAAACAAACTGGTTTAAATGTGTTGCACAGATGTGGTGTAATTCTGCCTTTTGTTTAAAGTAACCTTTTCTCTCCCCTGTAAAGTATGCATAGGTCTGTGGGGGCCCAACCATGCATTCCTTGAATGCCCTAAGCTTTCACTGAAGAAGGCACCAGAAGGCATGAAGATGAGTGTTTTAAATAATTTTAGTGATAGAGTGGTTGTTCCTGCATTAACTGACACTGTAATTGGTTTGTGATATGCTAATAGATTTTGCAAACTACAGGGAATTGCAACTTGGAAATCTTTGGGGTTCAGCTTTTCTTTATTGATGACTCTCTTTTTTTAGGAAAAGCTTTAAATTAAGCCTAGCTTCTAATTAGAATCAGACATGTTGGTCCTCATCCTGCAATGTGATCTGTGCAGGCAGATTTGTATTTGCATAAATTCTCATCTTGCTGAGGTTCTTGAGGCTGCTGGACTGGGAAGAGATGGGTACAGAAACAAAGGGTGAACTCCGGTATCTTTTCCAGTATGGTTGGAGTTCAGACAATGGACTGAGCACAAATAGCTGTTTACTACTGTGGAATATATGGACCATGACTACTTTTGTGAGTGTGGGAGGCTAATGCTTTTGCTTTATGAATTTCCCCTTAAAAAAAAAATCATGGAATTTAATTCTAATCGTAGAAGTATGCTGACATAGGATAGGATCCAGCGAAACTGCATGTTTTGATATCAAGGTTAGAATCAGGGTTTTTCAAAAAATACTTCAAACAGGATTCTTTAATCTAATTAGACAGATTTAATTAGCTTTTGTTTCTAAGTTACTGGTTTTTACACGTTCTGGTTGGAATAGAGTATCTGTTTTCTCTCATATACTTTTCTGTGTATTTAAGTGCTGAAACAAAGAAAAAAAAACCCTTTGGAGCAAGTTTTTAGAAAAAAACCAATATTTTGGCAATATTGAATTTGGAGTGGATTGTAATGTGTCTGTGCAAAGACTAGAATTTTTTTTTGTCATTTTATTTATTGAAGATGCCATTAAATGTGTTACCAGTTCTTTCAAGTTGGACTTGTGATTGAAATAAAGATTAAAGGCAATATGCCAGTGTGTTGTGTCCGTTTAGCAGCAAAACTATATGAAGAATTTGAGGAGATCCAATAAACTTTGTTCTGTGGTTTAATATGAGTGCTTGGCTTACAGTTATCTGTCATAAGGGCTGTTTTTCATTTATATCTATCTGTATAAAGTGTGTATTTATCAGTGTTAGATTCCTTGCACGGCCACATACAGGTACGTGTATAAAAGTTCAGTTTGCACCATCAAAACTGAAGTCCTGAAGACCCTGTTAGGCACAGGATAAGATCAGGCAAATGCCTGTGGAATTGGTACCTTTTCTTGATTATACAGGCTTATCAAATTACTCTGTTCATATAGTTGTGCAGTGGTAATTCATTTGGCTCATCTGTGAAAGAAAGAGGACTGGAAATGGACTAGGAAACACAAACCTATTGCGCAGCTCCTGTTGGAGATGCTTTTTGTCCTCATCTCATGCTTCCTTGCTCAATCACCAGCTGATTTCCTGAACACCATTCTGCTGCTTTGCAGCACATGCCTACATGCTGTACTCGAGACTGTGTTCTTAGAGGAGATTGGCACAGCATAATATTCTTTATTTTATAAACTGAGAGGTTGCCAGGCTTATTTTGCAAAATGTGAAGACTTATTTTATAAATGTTTGTCACAAAATGGGTTGTTTATTCATATGTAGGTTTCCAGTAAACATGTTGAACTTGAAACCTTAACTCTGGAAACATTTGCTGTCCTGAAAGGGATAGAAAAGCAGGGGATTTTCCAGCAGTGGTAGGTATCTTTCTGCTGGTAAAACTACAGACTAAACTGTTTTGCTGAAACCTCACCCTGAGGTTGTAGCATTTCCTCAGGGACTGAGTGACAGGGGCAAGGCTCTGGTAGCTTGCCCCAAAGCAAGCCTCCTCCTCCCACAAGTGGGAGACTTGAACACAAAATCCCTGCCCAAAACGTGCTAATTTGATGGAGTGGGAGCAGGTGGAGAAGACTATAAGCATGCAGTTGAGGATTGCCTCAGTGGAAGATATTCCGCACTAGCAATGTTTGTCCTTAATAAGAAGAGATGGTTCATGAGGGAGTTCTAAAGTCTTGTGCAAAATGCTGTGTCTTACAACAGCGGGGACATCTGTGTGCCGCTGCCCAGGCTGAACTGGGGAGAATGGGAGAGTTAAATGGAAAAAAAAACCTCAGTTCAGACTGGAGCTGCCAACTGTCGTTACTGGTTGGCAGTTTCTAGCTGCCAGCATTCAGGAAAGTTGCCGCTTAGGGGATTACTTTTCTGCTTAGTTTGAAGTTCAAGATCAGTTCGGTCCCTGTTGTGATGCAGACGCCTCTGAAAGCTATGCTCTGTGACTACTCAGCTGGCCTTCTGCTCGGGGGGGCCAACGCTTGGCCCCTTGGCACGATCAAGTTATTTCTTCAAGGCACGGTGCAGCAGGACTTGAAGACTGGGCATCTGCGGCTGTGCAGTCGCCACAGTCCAAAGATCCCACGGTTAACAGCAAAGAGTGAAAACTGCAAGATGATGCAAAGAGGATTCAGCTAATCAGGTAACAAAGGAGACAGTAACAAAAATATTAAGACTCATGGTTTCTTACAGCAGCAGTTCTCACACTCTTGATCTGCAGGCCTTTATAAATCTTCCAGTGGAGATAGGGGGGCATAGATGAATTTAATCTTGCTGCTTTCTGCTATTTTTCATGGATTGCTTAGTTTAAGAAGGTTTTCAGCCTGTGGTCTGTAGAGTATTTCTGTAGGTAACAATAGGCGTCTTTATTGCGTCTTCTAATCTGCTCAGCTGATGTATTCTCTATCCTCTTTGCTTTTTGCCTTTTAATGTCTTTTCCTTACCTTTCTGAATTGCAGATGCTCTTTGGGATGGGGGTGCTCTTACCAATCTCTGTGTGCCTTGCAAAAGAAACAAAATCTTCAAATACCTTCAGCTGGAGCAATCAGAACCTGTTTCTGGGATGAGCTTGGTACATAATCAGTTACAAAACTGATGTAAAGCACATAGTGCTGCTTTCCTGCCCCCACCCCCACCCCACCCCCTACAGAAAATCTCAGTGGAGTACCTCTGCTCTTTTCTCCTGTATGAGTGAGATCAGATGTGTCTGTCTTGCTTCAGTGCAGTGCTTAGCAGCAGTTGCATGAAAAAACCTCCCCAATCACTAGATGTTAAACTAGCAATGGCCTGTTATGCTTCAATGGAAGCAAGTGAGATGATTGAGGATGGGAGGAAAGACGCTTAAAGAAGCTCAGTCAATTCTGCTTCACTAGTCAGACTTCAGCTTTAGATACATATCTGTTCTGCACAGCAGCGATGCTTGTATTTAGTCTAGCTATTTCATGATTGTGCTGTACAGAAATTCATGCAAAAGCACTCCCTGCCTACAAGTTGTCTGTCTCTCCTCATTGACTCTGCCACTTAGAATTCTAGGGGTTGTGGAGACAGGAATTTGTTTTCAGGGTAAAGCTGTAGAAGCTAAACTGGGCAGGATGAAGACAAACTGAGCTGTGCTTGTGAAGAACGAGATGCACAGCTTATTCCACTGTGGGCAGCTGTGCCAGGCTATTTTGTCATCCTGGTTTATAACTGCATTCAGACAGCAAAGCAGAAATTTTCTCTTTCCCCTCAAATGTTTGGCAGAAAGCTTGCTTTTGTCTAAAATGCTTCTTAAGCACTGTGCAAACCATTCAGTCCTAAACCAAATACCAGTTTGAGTTGTGCTTTTTCTTTCTAATTTACAAATAGGAGGGTTTGGTTTAGTTTCTTGTAATAGCTGCTGCAGCAAGACAACTCTTGGAAAATACAAGGCGCCATCCCAAAAGATATTATCTGCTTTATTCTGGAGGGCTTTTTAGCACAATGCAGTTTCTTCGTGGTAAAAAATGGCAAAGATTGCTCTGTGACTACCAAAGTGTAATGAAATGCGGATGGTA